TGCTTTCACATCAAACCTTCACAAAGTTTCATCCAGCTCAAGTTCTATTCAAATCACTGAAAAAAATTTAAACTGTTATAATAACTAAAATAGTTTTGGTGTTTGATCTACAAAAAAGTCTTGCAGAATTAATTTATTAGTTTTTGGTTAAAATCTTGTATTAGGTGATTGAAACTACGTACTGAGTATTTCTGAAAATTGTACATTCGATTACAATCTTGATATACTGTTAGATGATTAATATAGAATTTATTGGACATAAATGTATAGTATTAATTATAGCTAAAAAGATGGTGTTTACTGAAAAAAAAATCAGCAACAGTTGATGCAAAAAAAAACAATTCAGGGAAGGGATGTTGTGAAAGTTGACAGAGCCGCCTTATGACAAATTATTATGCATGTATCAAAATAAACCAAATGAGGCGAAATAATGTAAATAGCTAGTCATGTAAATAAGCAAAAATATTTGCAAATACTTTATAACTTACAGTCAGATCTACTTACTGATCAAATCCAGCCACTCTAACATATATTTTTAATCATTTTTTAATCTTGCTTTCTAAACATTTAATTATYAATTTGCTGTAGCAATTTATTATAATTTGATAATTCATTAAAGTTATCAAAAGACTCATATGTGTGGCCTTGGTAGCAACACTGACAATATAGGGATCCCAATATAGGGTTTCAATTAACTTGTTTCCTATGTTTGGTAAACGTTGTGCACAGGCATAATACTAGTATTGTAATCTTGTATTGAACTGTTATATCAGTGAAATAAATTGTTCTAGTTCAAATGTGTTAAAATGTCATCTCATTGTTTTCCTGGTGGAGGGACTTCTCCTTATAAAATGGGGAGAGGGTTCTCATTGGAAATTCTCGGAATGATCCTTATAAGGGAGCTATATCGCAAACTGATGGGTGTGTTGGTGATGACATTTTACCYCTTGGTGGCAAGGGAATAAAATCAATCATAAATGTTGTTATGAGGGGGAGGCATGATAACTTCATTTTTGAATGGGTTTGGGCAAATCTTTCATTTTCTGCAACCCTAAATTTATCCATTGCACAGGTTCTCTTGTAGTGTGCAAGCTGCAATTATTATTCATAAGCCATTTTTTATCCAATCAAAATTATATTAGCGTTTACTTGTAAACACATTTTATAGAATAAACTGTATGTACACAGGCTAATCAAACTTTATTCAAACTTCACTTTGATGTACAAGTCACACGGTCTGGATCATTTAATTATGATTCTAATACTTGAGCTTTAGTATATACTAGTACCATGGGTATACAAGACGTTAGAAATTAAACCCTTTCTCATAGTTTGTGTAATCAAAAGCAGTTTTCAGTCTGTAAGCCAAAAAATGGTAAGCTTGTCAACAGCCTTGAAATAAACTATGAGCTAGAGAGAGTAAATTCCAACCTATGGAATCCAGGGCACTACAACAGCAACTGTATAAAGCTGTCTATCTAAAAACGTAGTCTATATCTCATACAAACAAGATAACTAGTGTTAAACTATATTTACATAAAAGATTGAAACATGACAATTCTCACATCAGTTCTGAAAAAAAAGAGGAAAATACAATTCGAAATAATTGAAAATTAAATCTGACAACAGAAATGGCTGACTTTTGATAATCTAGCTGAGTAACCACAGGACTCTGTTCAAATATCTTTGTGACATTCTTTTGTTTACCTGTAGCCACAACTTCAGTTGTGTTGTTCATGGTCAAACAACAAGAATATCCCTAGTCAGCCATTACTTTATAGTCTTTGAGATATGTGACACAGCTTGTTTTTTGAACTTTCAAGCCAAATTGTATATTTTTCAAGCTATATTGGCTCAATRAATGGTAACACACACACAGTCAATTCCATTAGCATTGTTCAGCTGTATAACATAAGAAAACAACAGCATTTTTCAATAAATATATATTTGAACTTTTTTTGCAAGTGACTTAAATTTTGTATGTCTGTAGAACCGAACAATGAATGTTGACTCTCAAACTTATTTGGTTACATCACATATTAAGTGGAAATAACCCAAACAACAAACATTATAATTTGTATCTAAAGCAAACAAAATTAAAACAAGCAGTTGGACTTTTTTCAAAAATATATAATATATAGTTCTAAAATAGTGGTTCATTGTCATTGATCTTGAGATACCTACAATATAAGAAAAACAAATTAACTATCACCTTCCATGAAAAGAAACATCTAGCATAAGAATTCAAACATCTATATAAAAAAACTACTGGGCTGTATTTACCAAATTGCCATAGAGTCAGTTGTCATAGTCATTTATATGGCTTTTAAGTCATCCAGCCCATAATTCAAGTGGGCACTTATTGACATACATGTTTTTGATGTCAATTCTTATGTCTGTCTTTGGAAAAGCAAAGCTGTGTGTAATGTACTGCCTCTGGATGCGAGCACCCTACATTATACAGKGTGGATTTCCTGTCATAGGTGGGACAGCAATAAAATGTTGGAGTTAAAAAGCAAAGACTGAGTAAAAGTTCTATTTTCATTGACATTTTAAYAAGGGACATGATATTCTACACGTCCCATATATTCTGGTGGCTACTTATCTTACAAACATATTTGACCCTTGAAATGAACAGAGCTATTGCCAGTACTAGATGCATGTTTTCATGGACTTCACATAGTTTTCCTCTATTCCCTTAATTYTATTATTCACAGTGAAGTTATCAGAAAAATGCTTTACTTGTTTTAATTAACTTTACTGACCTTTACTCATGCATAGAAAAACTGGTGGATTTAATAAAATTGAATTGGACATTGCGAGATGTAATTGGGTGGAATTTGGAACAACAAGGGCAGAATAACGAATTTTAAACAAATAATTTAGAAAATTAGTGAAATAAAGGGGAACTGACAAGGACATACAGAGGAAGCACATTTTATTGGCAAAGCTCTGCTATACTTCAAACTAGAAATGGCAATAAAAAATGATGACACAGAAAACGAGTACGGCGATGAGTGCCCACGTGAGCTAGTGCAAATTGTAATGTATTATATGGCAATAAGGGTTAGGGGTTATATGGCAATAAACATGAAATTGTACGTTCCTTTTTGTAAATTTCTCGCGGCAGTGGAGAAGTTTTGTTCTGTTCGCAGCGTGGTATGCACCCCGCCAGTAATATACATATTGTAGAAATGTAACTGTTATATACATAAATGCCATCTTATACTAACCTCAAAAAGTCTTTTTTGTAACCACTTTACTTTAAATCCTTGTCAAGATCGACTGGCAGCTTCTCAGCGCTACAAGCGCTAACTGTGTACAATCTTGCTAATGGCAAGTAACTGGATAAACCGCCATATAAACTAACGCCATTTCCCTGGGTAATCGCTTCTGCTGCCTTGGCAATTGAATGTCCTCCTTCGCTTTGATTTTCACCCAATCGTATCTTTTGTGAAACGATCCTGGCATATAGTTGTCCACCAACAGGAACGGAAGCCATTTTAGTGCCAGAAACTGATATATAAAACACAGACCCGTGTAAACATTGAAACCGAAGTCATCTGTCCTGCATTAAGGGTAAGGGAAAATCAGAGAAATGCTGTTTCTTGTATAAATACCTTGAAATCTGGTTTCACAGTAGACTGTAACTTTTTAATCTTGGAGAAATGCAGTATTTCTGGGTGTTCTCTGTATTTGTCCCGGTTTGTGTCTATTAGGTTGGGATGGATATCAAAGTCTTTGTAAATCTCACTAGTAAAGAGAAAATTGATCTATGCAATTGAGAAACTGTTGGAAATGATAGCAAAGTCAAGCCAATCAGTAGAAACGCGTTGYGTTTCGCACATAGTTCGATTCACTTAAAACTTGGACCAGCTTCGAGAACAACACATCGCCTTCTTCCTACTTGTTACACCGACACGAATCGAATGCTCTGCTACCTTGCCCCATTGGCATCATGGGTAAACAACATAAGCAAATCCAGCCAATCATAGAGGGATGAAGTCATGCTCTAATATCCTTCCTTCTTGTTTTACTAATCCTACTCTAATCCCACTATCTGCACTATGAAAGCAGAATTGTTGTTCATCATTTTTGATGCGAATGTTAGGACCGCATGGCACTATGAGATACATGATATCGAAATAAAGGAAAGTTTATATAGTGATTGGAAGGAGGTTATTCCGGGAGAAAGACCCTTGAAAATAAATTCGGAATTTTTTTTTTTGCAAATACGTGCAAGCAGCACATTATATTATCCAAACTTGTTTAAAATTAATCCTGTTCACAATGTATAGTCCTTTAGTGAGTATGCTCATGTCACGTGTCAGTTTTGTGCTAAAAAAAACGTGAAAATTTGGGTGCGTCTCGTTGTTCTCTTTTACAAGTGTAGTTAAGTTCCGAGTTAAGTTAGAATCTTAGAAAGTTTCCTTTTGACTTTTATTTATGTGTTTGCTGTGGATATTTCAGTTCAAATTTGACATGCAACACTTTGACAGTCAACTCAGACTGTCGCATATGCTTGCCTACTTTTTGCTGCTCCGTCGACTTGTGTCTTTTTCTTGCGATGATTCGTCTTTATTTGACTCTCAAGTTTGTCTTTCCAATTGTATTTTCCAAATTTGACATCCAACATTTTTCATTCAAACACGTGACTTTACAGTGTTCCAGGTATAATTACTTCTTGTATAATGTTTTGACTTCTCCATGACGTAAAAACTGATAAGGCATGCAATCTTCAAGTGACTTTCAACTTCTTGGTGCGAGCCTCCTGAGTTAAAGTCATTATTAATTACTTATCATTATTAATACGATCACTTTTTGTTAGTCTTAATAGCGGATTTGCGGAATGGCTCAAGACATAAATTAAAATATACTGATTTGAGGAATCGGTGGATTTTAGGCGCTTTTACTGGGCGGACCTGTGGATCCCAASCCCCTTTTTCCCTCTACGAGCTTTTGTTTAAAGATATACCATATTAAGCACCACTCACATGCTTCTTCTACCAAGCAGACTGATGCGATGCAGTGTATTGTGGTGTGTTCTCTTAAAAAATCGTAATTGTCCAAGCAACAAAAACAACATGAAAAAAAGCAACAAACTCCTCACTTTATTATTTTACCTAAGTTGCAGCAATCTATAACGTTGCTTTTACAATAATGGGAATCATAAAAACATAAAACAGCATGTACTGTTAATTCCTGAAACAGTAAAACAACTGGCACGGTGCTTCAAGTCGTCGTCATATTCCCAAGTGCTTTGCAATATTTTACACAGCAGTACTGCTGAGTTTTTTTAAAGAAACCATTGGAACTTTTTTTATTCATGGAAAAAATATTTGCCAATCATCATTTGCATTCTATCCAGAATATTTTAAAGGGTATTTTATATTAATATGGCTTTCCATTCTATAAAACAGCTTTCAAAGCCAATAGATAACCTAATAAATATAAAATTCATATAAAAGGTCCTTAAGTTCAGCCATTGCGCCATTTATATACTATAATATTATAAATATCTATTAAATAATTCACTAATGTAAAATGCAATAATTATCAATATTAAATAAGTATAAACAAATTTCTGTTCAATTGTTAATGTCACGCACAATTGTATGAATCCATCCATTCAAATTCTTTTGTGGAGCCAAAGTGAAGAAGCAACACACTTAATGCAGTTAATACATGCATTATCTGATGGCTGTTACCAACCATGTCAAACCATCCTGGAAACCATTTTTCTGGTACTCTTGCAATATTGATAACACCACCAATACATGCACAACAGTCCATTAGAATGCAATATATTAATGCATCAGAAGTGCCACACCCAAAACCCAGGTACTGCAGTGTAAGCCTCACTATCAGGAAAATATACCTGAGTACACCAAACACAGCAAATGGAATAAGACGATCTTTTGGTGTTGGTGCTTTCAAAATATATGATAATGCAGCAAATGAAATGACCAAGTATATCATGATTGCTAATTTCCTCCAAATTGGAAAGCAAAATAGTGTTGCTCTGATACCACACAGTGCCCCAAAAGAGTTAACCACCCAGATGCCACACATGTCAAAGCAAAGCAGGTTACTGTAGGTCTGTTTACCAGAGTGGTGGCACATGAACAAATGATAAACAAGACTAGCAAACATTGGTGYAAAACATGCAATATAGTGAAATGAGAACCAAAATGGAGTCCGTAAACATGCTTCACTGGCTGTCAGAGGAATGAACAATATAAAAAATAGAAATGGGATTCCTGAAAGTAAAAAGAAAAATCACCATTATCATCTAATGATTTTCAAGAATTATTCAGYTGGACAAACATTTTATTGGCAACAAATTGTAAAATAGTGTGAAAACATTGAACTAACCAAATGGTGCTAAATAGTAATGATAATAGAAAACAAAGGAATATAATTCCTAGTACTATTTTGTACAGCGTTGTATGTATGTTGAATGGATCTATATCAATCAATTTGATAAAAAATGTCATTACTGACAATACAATTATTTAAGAACCAAGGTTTTGAAAAAAAAAACAGAAAAATCTTTTTTTAGAGCAACTGGTTTTATCGATACATAATTTAGCACTTAAACTTATGCTACAGTCAGCTGGCTAGTGGTACCTGTACAAAGCTGTGAGGTCCCCTCCCTCCTGTGGTTTAGTGGCTTTCGATTGGGCCAATAATGGCTTACTTTAAATCAAATATTGTTAGAATCATATCTTAGCCTTCTAAATAGCGACCACATTAAAATCGTTCCGAACCATGACAGCATTATTATTTCATCACGTCTCTACGATTCTGGTGTTCTCCAAGGTATATTTTTAGTTCATTTATCCGGTAATAAAACTGATTAAAAATCCGTAAATTATTTTTACTTAATGGACGGAATCTCGTTGCAGCAATCAAAATGGTAAACACAATCCACCACAAAAGCCATTGTACTTAAAAGTACAAAATAACAAAGCTGATTTATATAATACATTGTGAGTGAATCTACGTTAACGCGGCAAGTGATGGCAAATTTATACAAAACGATTCCATGATTGCATCAAACTTACCATGGCTATAAATGTTCACTGATTCGTTATGAAGATAAGTCAAACTCATCAGGCATTCAGATGTCGATAAGTTACATCGGTAACCACTCAAAACGAATTTGTTGAACTGCAGCCACGACGGACAGAAATGAATTGAAAAAAGCCTCGGTGAGCACTTGCTCTCTTTAATTTCTGCATCCTCATCTGCTGTGTAGATAGCGGGTTTGATAATTCTCTTTAGCACCATTTCATCTGTAGTTTATAGCCCGCACTCATCTCAAATGAATAAAAAAATTTTGCGGCCGACAGAAACGTCAACAGACAACAAAACACTTATTGCCAGGCGTTCCATGCATACTGTACCAGGCTTCTATCTAGTCACTCGTCCATCGAAAAAAACTCATTTATTTATTACCGTTCCTGTTTCATTGAATACAAGAAAAAAACGTTGATTATCCAACCAATTAGACCTACAGCACAAGAATGTTTTAATAATACAATTTTGGAGGATTTTGAATGACTTAAATATATGTGAAAAATGTATATGTGACAGGCAAAGTGCGCAGTGCATTATGGGTTGAATGCAATATGTCGGACGAGGGTAAGCTGCACAGTTTTACTGACAAAAAGATACCTTCCTGGGCTAAAGGAGAGGATTTACGATATGTCGAAAAAGATGTATTGATTCCTAAGATAGTGCGAGAGATATCTAGAGAAAAATGCAAGGATTACCTTGATGGTAACTACATTGTTCTGGTGTTTTTAGTTCAACATTGTTGCATAACCTAGTTTTTGTTTAAAAATTCAGCTTTTACAGAGTGTTGCAAAGGTAGAACACTGTCCATGGTCTGGATTTGTAGAAAAGAAAATCGCGCAATGCAAGACTGCCTCRCTAAATAGTAAGTTGGTATAAAACTCCTACTAAGAATGCGTATTCAGCCATCATGGCGCATATATGAATAAGATAAGTTTGTGGCTATAAAATATTTTTTTTACGTTTATAACTCGGGGGAAATATCCCTTCCACACCATGTAGATATAGATCCTGTCACATTCATTATTYATTTTTCAAGTTACAAAGATGATCAAATATTTGAGGAAGCAAGAATACGATATTTGAAAGAAAGAGATGAGTTCCAAAAGAACTACTCCATCAGTGGCAATAAGAAAGACTTTAAGAAGAAAGAATCGCCAACATTTTAGATTCTTTGGTTCCTTTTGGTATAAGGAAGGATTGCAACATGCCAAAGTGTTAATATTATACAACTCAAAGTAAATGGCATTAAATTATGGAAAAAATACTTCTAAAACTTTCGTTTTGGATATTGAGAATGACCAACAAGACAGCAGGTTTTTTGATCACAACTGTTACACAACCTAGATTATGGCAGTAATAACAAATTGATAACAAATCTGCTCTATGATAAATATATTTTCCTAAATTTAATAAATGAAAAAATCAAAAATGTTTGAAATGATTATTTATCCTTTCTATTCTCATCTATCATCATGTTCATTTGCAGGCATTATCCTGTATATTCCCACCCATCCTAACTATTCCCTGCCATCATGATATAACATACAGTTTTTGAACGAGGTAATTCTAACAAAAACGTACATGAAGTATTGTTTCTAAGGATAATAGATAATTTATTGAATACACAGATTAAACTGAACAGTTCTTGCACTCTGATTGTTTAAATTTTTCTTCGTGTCCCAGGGCTTCATGTATTGAGCTGTAACAAAAAGTACATTTACCTTATTCATCTGTTGGTTTTCAGCCACATCACTCCTACTGGCACTGGAAGCCACAAGTGGTACAGTCGTAGAGTTGTACCATGTGTCTTAATCAGTTTATGTTTCATATTATGAGTATTTTTACTAAGAGCAGCGCCTAAAAACAACAATGTATTGATTAGCAGCAGACCATTATGTATTTAGTTTGTTGATCTGTGTCAATTGCATGATTTATTTTTTTGAGTTGAGGGGCAAATGCATTTGGGTGCAACTTACAGTTTTGAGAAGCTGTCTTTGAATAGCCCTAAAGCTACTACAGTTCTAGGAACTAAACTGCTAGTTTCAGACCTCATCTGAGGTATAGCTTACATGTACGAGGGTCCTGAAGGGGTAAATTAGGCATTGGGATCTGCCTTTTTTGAGAGTGTGAATTGGGACTTTTGCATTGAGATTGAGATTTGTCCACGGGAATAGGCTAAAAAATTTGGGATTGGGAACGTAATTTGCCCATTTTTGTCCATTCAATATTCCTTTTAATGCTAAAACAATGTTTTACAATGAATAATTTGTAACATTTTATAGTACATTTTAGTAGACTAGAAAAGAAAATTGAAATAAACTTTAGCAAAGCCAAAAAAGAACTGTATTTTGGGCTTTACTAAAAATTTGATTGAAAATTGGGATTAGATACCGTATAGAAACTTGTATCTTGCATTATAGATATTACTATATCCCTGTAAAATAAAAACATGCCCCTGATAAGGTTGAATGACTTGTGCCAGTGTTTCTTACCTTGTGAACTTGAGCATTTGCTGCATTGAGGAAAAAAATGTTGCTTTTGGCCAGACTTGAGTAATTTGTTTGGAGGGATGTGGTCACCCACAAACAATCTACCTCTCTTCTTACCACATGAATGGCAGCCATGCCTTCTACCTGAAAATACAAAATTATCATAATATTCAAATGCATAATAATTCCAAAAATAATATAAAGAAGAAATTAAATATTTTTATTTAGGTAATGYAGTGGGGGTTAATGCGGTGAGTGCATATTGATTTATGAGGATGTATAATGATATGTTCCAGCTACTGATAAATCCACCGAAAACATCACTTAAATGGCAGTAGCAAATATATTTTTCAAAAATTGCTTTTCAAAAAATTTGGAGCAAAGAAAATAGGTTCAAAACTGATTGGGTGGACTTAATGCTGTGTTTATAAGATATACTAATTAATTCAACTCATTTTGTTAACTAATAATATTATGTATAATCAATCCCATCTAGTAATACTTATAATGCAACAGTCAATGTAAATCCCCCCAAATCTGGAAAGGGTGGTAACGTAAGCAGGGAAAAAGTAGGAATATTTATGCTACGAGTCCCCCAGGTTCCGGAGTCTTGGATGAGATTTTCGTCTTTGGTTCTCAACCCAGGGATTTCATGCTAAATGAAGAGGTACTGGGGCCGAGAAGGAGATACTTTCAAGATGGCGGAAGGAAATGTGAGTATCGTGAATGATATGTATCATCCTGCGATTCTTTCTTGACATCCATACATGCAATCACACAAAAACAAGACTGTTAAGAAAATAAACAAGTTATAAGTTATACAAAAAGTTATCCAAATTTTGTTGTTGTTGTAAATTTGCTTATAATGGTCAGTGCAGTCAGGAACAAGGAAGGACATTGTCCTGGGGGTGGTAACATTTGCTCACTTTTGTAACAAGCTTATTACAATTCCCCGCTCATTCCCAGCTTGGGAGGGGGGGATTTACACTGGTGCATAAAGCTATTTGTCATACCTAATCTGGTTAGTTGTTCTTTTGCAATATGTGATGCATAAGATTGACTATTGGCAGGTATACATGCCCTTGCAAAGGATCCTGGATGTATTAGACTGCTTGGTAAAACTGCCCGAAAACGACCACCGAATGCTTTGAAAACAGCCATACTTCCAGCACAATACAACAAAATATCTGAACTTTTGAAGCTTTTATATTCGATCACAGGAAGATAAGCATCAAAATCCCTTTTGTGAAACTCAAACATTCTAGGGGTTATATTTCTTGACAAGTTAATATAAGAAACAAAAAGAACTGATGCCACACATCCAGAAATAGCCACAGAAAGACTTCCAAACACTGACCCTATAACACGTTTGTTGCTTGTTATACGTAAAGGACGAAATACAGCAGTTTGTAAATATCCAATAGTTACGGGGAAAGCAGTAACACCAAGCACAGTTGCTTCTACAAAATCGCTACCTCTGACAGGGCGTCCATTAGACTTCTCATTTGTAGTCACTTCTTCTAAGATTCCCCTTAATTTCTTACAAACTGTGTCCAAAAGTTTCCAAACTTCGTCCGCCATTTTTTTTTATAATGTCACTCACGGGGTCCCTTTGTATTCTATCCTACAGGAAACCCGCAATTCTTATCTGGTCCCAGGGGATCTAAGAGCATGCATTTGTTACCTTAGTAACCGCGTAATATACTTCATTATTGTTTCAATAATGGAGAAATAATGAACGGATATTCGGTGGTKATGATTTCTTTATGAGTTTGTAATAAGATCTAGTCTATTCACCTTGTAAATATGCCCGAAACAGAGAATCCTCGAGCATTCGTTCGCCCAAAACCACTACCTCTTCCAAGTCACCGTGGACTTAAAATAACAGCCCGTAATGCTAGGATTTATACGTGTGAAGTACCCACAAGAAAGCAAGTCGCACACGACAATTATGCACGACGAAAGCACCAAATGACAAAGTGTGGTTACAGGTCTGTCAACTATAAACCTTACCAATGTGTTGGAGAAGTAGTTCTGAACGATAAGAAACTTATAATGTCGGCACTGGGACAAGATCACGATCAAATCACAGAGGTAAGAAATCACATCATTTATTCATTACTAAGTAGCCTTTTTATGTAGAGTTATTTCAGAGAGCATATAAGATATTCTAGTGTTGGTATGCAGTCTTTGATAGTCTGCTTTGAGTTCAGTGTTTATGGTGTAGTGAGATGCACTGAACTACTGACGTGTGACTTGTTTACTTTACTTGACATACGTCTAATATTGACCGAATTATTACCTCCTGACAACTGAACATTGTGAGCACCAATACTCCCAAGAGGCATGCAGGTGAAATTGGAAAACTCAGTTATAAAACTGACATCTACTTTGCACTGTCTAGAACCACGTTGGCTGGTGTATATGTGTCCCGATACAATGCTCCTAAATATCAAAGCGTTAATATAAACGCAAGAAACAACCAGCGTTGCTTAAATGAGCATGTAGCTTTCGGTTTTYACTGCTCTTAGATTATTTAGAATATCAGGCACGCAGGCTGGAGGAATTTGAGGGCTCGAAGTTCCATCCCCTTCCTCACTCCCTACACGCACTTTTAAAAACAGAAAAAGTCCGGCCTGTACCCGTGAAACAAAAGGATATGCACTTTTATATAGCTTGGATGAACACACGATTTCATTGGCTAAAAAGCGGGCCATACTTTCCCGTAAGGACCAGATGAAACGAGAAAAAACGTTTTTTATCTTGAAAAGGCTCGCTTTCTCTCTTTTTGTTGTTGTACTGTATGAAAAAGAGTCAAAAATGAATCCAAATTTTGCCATCAAGGTTTCTCAGGCTTTTCTTTTTTCCTTCTATCTTGAATGACAAGAAAAGTACGAACAAAAACATATTTTTATGTCCGATTCTCTATTAATTTTGAAAATGCTATATAATAGATATCTTATTAACCTCGCTTGCTCGTGCCATACTGGAAGTTATGGAACCTCGTTTTTTCCACTTTTTCTTGCCGTTTCTTATTGCAAAAAATGGAAATCATAAGATGGAGTACACAAGGTAGTTTGATATATACATTTTTTTTACTCCAGTTTCAGGAAAGTGATTCTTCATCAAGTGACTATGACTCAGAAGGCGAAATCACGCAGGCCAAGACCGCAATGACAAGAGTAAGGCACCCCCGACGTCAGTTATATACTGTAGACGTTTCTCGGCGTGCTCATACCAACTGAGAAAACGTTCAATAGCCCCCCCCGCAACCCTAAAAAGAGAATAAAAGGACTTTCCCTCGCCTCTTCGCTAAAATCAGCTATTCCATCCTGACAACATCACGGACAATCAATCAATCAAACTTAATTTAGTATCTTGCAGATAAAGAAAAATTGATGCAATTGATGATAAATGTTAAATGATGAGTGTTATTACTGTACAGATTCAACACCAACCAACCGCAGCTTCACAAGCTACCAGCTACAAACCAAAACAAATCAACGATATCCGAGCACAGGTTTCCAAAGGAAGGTAAATTGATAACTTTGTATGTACTTAGGGTATATAATAGCAGTAGTTCGATATATCAAACTATTGGTTCTTGAGTGCTATGAGTTAAGAATAGCACTCTCTGTTGTAAAAGGCATCAGCTCAGTAAACGTGTCCAATTTGCTATTTGTCAGAAAAATGATCAATGCCGTCAAGCTTGGCTTTGGATTGTACCGTATCGTCAAGGACGAACAAGAACTTAAGGTGCGTCAATTAATCATTCAAATTGGCTTCGATTGTGTATCTTTCATTTTTCCAATTTATCTTTAGCAAGCTGTTGCTGAAGAAGAAAGAAGAAAAAAAGAAGAAGCTGCAAAGAATGAGATGAGACCACCCTCGTCGGATGGGGAAAATACCGACGATGAAGACATAGATGCTGAGTTAAAGAGGTTAGCTCCAATTTGAACATTATCAGTCTCAGCTAGGTTTATATCTGATCGGTCGTGTCTTTAAACTATTGATGCTCAGATGATGCGTATGATCTTCCTTGCAGTATGTTTGTCGAGCTTTCACCCGGTCCAACGTCAAATATGGAAGACGATTTCAAAGAACAGTTTCTTGATGTAAGAGAGTCGACAGCTGAGCGACCAGACAGCTCAAGCTCGACCGCAAGCAGCCAGCGATGGAAAAAAATTAGTACGTAATTGTTAGTCTCATTTGGTGATAAGGGTCATCATGATGACAGCGTTTTCTTATTTCCAGATTCAGCGTTGAGTGCAGCAAACCCACTCGGTGCTCCTGTTGTTCACGTGACTGATACATCACAGGAGGCACTGGATGAGTTAGATCGGTATGATTACGTTCAAATATATCAACTGCAATTCAATATTTATTCCAACGTGAATTTATYATGAGTTCTACAATCGGTTATCTGTTGTATATCGTTCATTGTAGATCCATGACATCAAACCATTTCATGACGGAACGACGGAACATTGCGAGTGCTCCTTCTGGTCATAGGAGCTATTTGGGCTGCGCAAAGTCCTCCGTGTCCTTGTCTTCTCGAGGTAGTCGTCGATCAAGGAAGCAGAAAAATGCTCGACCGTATTCTCCACTTTACAGCAATATTAACTACAATGACAGCACAGACAGGTAAACGGTTTATAAATGTACCAAAACCAAAGCGGCAGAATATAGATTATCTGCATTATTGGAGCGTGCCTGGTCCGATGCGCACATTAAGAGAAGAAAGTGTGTATCTGGTTATCACGATAATTTAAAACCCTTACTTTTTTCGTTTTTAAAGTCTCATTTTTCATGACTGTTACCGTCGAGTGATATAATAATAATAATGATGATGAT